CTTTGCCATAACCAGCTGAGTTCTTATGATATATTCCTGCGGCCCGCAGCAGACTTATAATCAAGATATATGGCTCAGGTATGGGACTCAATTCCCAGTACCACATAAGCCGGGTTGGGTGGTGTATGCCTGTGATCTCAACAATTGAGATCGAAAGGCAGGAAGTTGAGAAGTTCAACATCAGCTTTTGCTACATTAAAGAGTTTGAGGTTAGCATGGGATACATGAGACCCTGCCTCAAAAAAAAAAAATAGATACCAATATTGATATCTAGATCAGATAAATAGAGCAATGCCAATAACATAAGAAGAGCTGAAAAAAGACGTGGAGAAACCAGAACCCTCTAGGTGGGAATGGAGACCAGAGCTGCTGCTTCGGGATGGTGTGGATCAGCCAGAAGAGCACGTGCCACGTGCTGGGTCGTGCTGGACAGGACCAACCTGAATTTGATCCCCAGAATTCACACAAAAGTACAAGGAAAGAACTTACTTCCCCAAAGTTGTTCTCTGACCTCCACACACGTCTGCCACCAGACATACACTTGTTACCTGAACACGCATGTACTAACGACCTAAAGGGGGACTGATACACACATAAATATTATGCCGCATGTGCATGGAGAAGGCCTTGGCTGGAAATGGAATGAAGTTCTGATGCCTGCTGCCCCACAGCTGCCTCTGCAACACACGGTGTCAGAAAAGAAGCCAGGCTGCGGTGTGATCCCATCCACGGGCAAAGTCTGGGGGGTCCACACAGGGAGGGGAGGGAGATGAGAAATTCCCTAGGGACAGGTTGCTGCAGACGAAGAAGCTGAAATGGGTAATGGCAGTTGGGGCTCAGAGTTTTTGCAGGTGTTGAAAATATTCTAAAATTAGACTGCAGCGCTGGCCGCCCGTCTGCAAACCCACTAAAACCCACTGAGCTGGAGCCGGTAAGTGGGGATTTCGTGGCATGTGAAATGCACCTGAATACAGCCATAAAGACGGACAAGCAAGCTGCCCTCTGACCTTGCTCCCCTGCCCGTAAGGTTTGCTGTTTCCTCGGAAATGTTTCTCCGAAAAACTCCAGCTCTGCTGGGCAGGAGTGGCGCACGCCTTTAGTTTCAACACTTGGGAGGCAGAGTCAGGCGGATCTCTGTGAGTTTGAGG